AATACATTAGCTTGCAACCACTACCTCTTGTTGTGTTTCTAGCTGAATTATCTTCTAGTAGAAATATTTTTCCAGGTGTTGGCAGTGTACCATGATCAGATAACTTCTAATGCTTTTTTCTTCGGTGAACTAATTAAGCTATGCTTAAGTCTTTCATTAGAAAATATTGTAACAGTGGAGCAGGAAGAAAAGGGTGAAGGGCTTCTCACATGATTCAGAAGAACTTTGAATTAACACAAGGGGGAGGGAGGGAAGAGAATAATATAAAAGGAAAGGATTTTGTAATTTACTTTGACTATGAAAGTACTCTTGCTGTAAACTACTTGCAGGTTTTTGAGTTTGAGTTAAGAAGCCATACCATCAGGGCATGAAAAATACTTGAGTACAGGAGTAGAGCTTACCTGGGAGGGAGTCTGCCAGTTTAGAGTCACGTTTTCCAGAACTTCAGTTGTTCTTTCAGCATTTTTCTGAAACCTTTCCAATTTTGCTGTTGGACATATTGAGATTAATTCCACGTTTCTGAAACCTGCTATATATCCCTTATGTTTTCCATGTGTTTTACGAAGTTGCCATTATACACAAGGATGTAATTTGTATATGGGCATGGTACATACTTTAACCATAAATTCTGCAGTATTTATTTCTACTACTCTTGGAATAGAGAAAATACATTGATTAAGACTATACGGTTTTAAACCACTTTAAACTACTAAGACATACCATATATAGTGAGTAGCTGTATTGATCCATTGAACCCTGATTTAATATAAAGTGTCCAACTCGCCCAGAGTATTTTAAATCCAAGAAATAAATTATCTTTCTCATGTGGGTTTTCTCATAAATTTCCTCAAATCTATGCATATCCATAGTCCTGGGTAGCACTCCCTCTTTGGACCACTTATTTATGATGTGCAAGAGACTGTTTTCAATTTTTTACTCCACTTGTACTGAAGAGATCTTTTAAATGTACTTTTACCTCTTTATCTGAGAACAGAAATAGAATGTTTCAGGCAGATTTCTTGTTATATGATTTGAGAGGCATCTGTAGATGATAAGTAAATCCAGTTCATTTCTGATTTCATTTCCTGCAAATGCTTGGGCTCCTGTTTCAGCAACCTGCCTCTGTACATCTAAGTGACTTTGGTTTATTTGCTTTACCAAAAGTATTTTTCATTTGGATCTCACAGCCCTTTTCCTTGTGCGCCTAACTCACAGTAACTCCATTTGCATCAGCAGAGTCTGTCACCAGATTAAGTGTCACTTTTATGAATGAAGGACTATAAAACAGACAGTGTAGCTGGTGACCAAATTTTTGTAGACCTCTGTGTTATGAAAATGAGGAGGTAACTGTGTAGCTAATGAAAATCCAGCTTTAGTTTTGACAGAGAATTTAAAGGGTTGGGATTGGTGGCTTCAAGCTCAATGTCTGCTTGGGTTTTAAATGACAATTATCATATACCCTTCTTAAGATAGAGCACTGTTTTCATCTCTTATCCTTTTTTTTTTCTTGCGTACAATATAATGAGTTCTTCTCAACTTGGATAGGGGATGTGTAAAAAATTTATCGTAGACTACTGGTGGGAGGTCTTCCTAACTAGTCAGTGGTAGTAATTACTTGTTTATCTGTACATTGTTGAAGAGGATAGAATTCTTTGAGGAAAGAATGAAAGTTTGTTGCATTATAGATTTTTGATCAGCTATTTCTTCCATATCTGACCAGACAGTTGATTCTGGGATACTGTGCAAGAATCAGTGGGTCAGAGAGTGAGCAAGTGAGAAGAAGCCTACCTCCATTTTTGTAAAATAGTTAGCCCAAGTATCTGGAAAGGTGGAATCTCCAGTCCGAAGGACACTATTGTGCCTTCTTGTATTAATCTTTTGATTTAAAACAAAAACCTAAGAATAATTCTGAGGTCATGAAACATAGTATAGGATTCTGCCCTTCCAGCTGTCTGTCCTAACTTTTTGGGCTGTAAGTTTATGGTGTGTTTTGTATTTTCTTGGGTATAATGAAGGAGATTCATTCTCTTGCTTTCTAGGCAATTTCTTTAATCATTTACTGTGAAGAATGAGCACAGGTATTGCTGCTTCTGAGTATCTTTTAAACGAGGGAGAATTGCCTGCTCCCCCCCAATGACTTCAGTGTGTCTCTTTTCAGCACAGGATTCTGGATTTCAGTTAAGATACATGTGTCAGTTCTGATTGAGATACTTAGAATAATGAAAGTTGAGCTACAGATGTTGCCAGGCATTTTTTATTGTGTATTAATTTTTAGGCTCAGCTTGATGTGCAGGATTTGGAGCACCATTCTGAGTTTTGCTTGATCGTCTGGTTTTACCGTAAGCTCTTGCTGCTATGAACTTGCTTTTTTGCTAGGAAAAATGGTTCTCCGTTCCAGGCGACCCTTGCTATTTCACTTGAAAAGTATCTTAAAATATCTTTCTTTGCTACAAGGCATAGATTTTTAACTGCACAGAGGAGCTGGTATACAGTGTACGTGATTTCCATCGCTAGTGCTTAAACAAAAAAGCGTGGGAGTGCACATCTAGAGGAGGGGCAGGGCAGGAATACCTCTTTTGGAGTATCAGCAGTCCTGGATTGACTTAGATCAGTCATGATGCTTCATGTTGACTCTTCCCAATCCATTGGATAAGGTAATGGTGCATAAATATAATTTTGAATTCCTAGATAGGATTTTTCCTCTGGTAGCACTTGGTTGTCTGAGTATGGGGTCAGGAGTCTGAGTGGAATTTTCAAAGTGATCAAACTCACTCAAAAACATATGTCTTAGTGATTTATTTTTTTTTTAAGTGTGAAATGGTAGAAAAATATAGCTTTGTTCTTGCAGTTCATCTTTTCTAGTGAAAGTCTGATATTCTGGAAGTTGAGTTTGGTTTAAAATGTAGCACAAACTCTTTCCTTACTAGTTCTGTGCTATTATTCTCATAATTGTTATGTTTGTTGTATCTAAAACCATTTCTTGATAAAATACGAAAGCCTGTTAGTTGGAAAAGCCATTGAAGAAAAAAATACAGAATACCTGCTCTAGTTATTAGAAGGAGTAGGAGGGATGTAAAATGTAGGAGTGGAATAAAGCAGTAGCAGTAAAGTTTTTGCTTAAATCTAAAATAACATATTTTAAATGTCTCATGTAGAAATAGGGTTTATAGTATGTCAGGAGAAAAGAATTAATGAGCATATTAGTGTTCACAAATAGTTTGAGGTCAAATTTTTCATGTTTTGGTTATTGGGACTTTAATAACTTATATAAAAACCAACATGAATCTTAGCATTAGTTCTTGCTGATTTGGCCCTGAGTGACAGGCTCTGCTTGTCTGTCCCTGTCATTTTGCCCAGAAGGTTGCACTAACTGACAAGCTGTGGTGTATCTGTTCATGAGGCCCTTTCCAGGGAGGCACATAGCATTCTCAGTGTGCCCGATCTGCTGTCCTCTACAAATCACATGCCCTGGATACACTGCATGTGAGAAGGCTGAACTGAACATATACAGGATCCAGCATGAAGACTACTTGCAAAGAATTTAAAGGAAACTGAGAGGGAAAGTGTTTCTGTGAATTAGATTTAAACAGTCTTGAAAGGAAAATACTATTTAGCTGGGTTGTTTTTTGTTCTGCAGCAAAAGTGATGCAGAGGATCCAACCACAGTGGGTTTACAGTGACTGTAATTTTGGATGATACATAAGCTATATATCAGGCAAGATTACAGATACTCTGACATATGCCTGAAGCCTAACAGACTTTTAAACATAGAAAACTGATAACTGCTAGAAGGATCCAAAATTCAAGGGGATATTATAATTCCAGTACAATACCCTGGACATTAAGGTAGTCTGCAGCAGATTTTTAAAAGACTATTTGTAGGTTGCATGAAAAAAAACCCTATCCTCACTTCTATTCCTGTGTATCTTGCTCTGCCACTCTCTCTATAACTGTGAGTTTCAAGGTTGATGTGAACACTTAATCTCTTAAACCATATTATGTAGATTATTCTCTTATTGGCCAGCATGCCTCACTCATATGACAAAATAGCTAACAGGGTGCAGTGCACCTGCTCATTCTAGGTGCTTAATTGGCTGAAGTGAGGAAGTTGCTAAAAAGGCTGAAAATAACTTGATTAAATTCTTACATGTTTTTTCCTTCTCATAGCCTTCTCATAGTCTCCTGAGATAAGGTACTTCAGCCATAGGAACCTGTGAATTTGGTTAGAAGTGCATAGAGAAAGAAGAGATTCTGTTTTAAGATTTCTTAATTGAATAGATTATGGGGCAGGGAGGTGGGGGAAAGGGACTTAATTTTTGTTCTTTTTCTTTTGTATAGGTGCTAGTGCTTTTGTTAGTTCCCATTACATAGTTACCCATGTGTGTCTGCTATAGAGGGGGGAAAAAATCGGAGAAAAATGCATTAATGAAACTGTCAACTTTGAATTCCTGGAACTTGTTTTGAAGTCTTTAAAAAGAATATCAGGTTAACACTGTTTCTAATCTATGGGCAAAATGCAATTTTAGAAGAAAAATATTATATAAATTATGTAAAGGACAGAAGGCAACAAATCGGTCTAGAATCTGGGCAACACTCAAATCCTGAATATCTCGATGGCCTTTGCAATTTCTCGACGGCCTTTGCTCCCCTTTGCACAGTTCCCAGCTGGTCCTGCTTGGTTATATCTAGATTCTCTTTACTTTTGTGATCTCCTTTGTTTCATTAACTCTGTGTAGTGATTACCTATGATATGTTGTTAATAGGCAAGGCACTCTGTTATGAGTTATTCTGGTGGGACAAGTCTCTGAAAGCAAACTTCTTTTTGCCTTACCTTCAAGGTTCCATCTCCAGCTTCCAGTGAAGTTTCCTGTGTCTCATGTGCAAATTTACTTCCATTAATTTCAAAATATTATCACTAATAGTTTATTATTTCAATGAAAATTATTTTTGTATCAGGTTTTTTTAGCAGAAAATAAATCAATTATTTCTTTTACTTGCAGATGGGCACCTTTAAGGCACATGATGGTGAATATTTTTTAGAACCTCTGATGAAAGCGGATGGAGGTGAACATGAAGATGAGCATAACAAACCACATCTTATATACAGGCATGAAGAACTTAAAAAAAAGTATCAGAAATCCCATAAACCTTGTGAAGTTTCAGGTATAGTCATACTTTAAATTTCAATGTGACTTTTTCAAATGTAAAATGTTTTTTTTAAAAAAGAGGCTAGATTTAATTTTCATAAATAATATTTATCTCCAGATTCTTCTATTAGAACCTACACATTTCTTTCACATAGCATTGGCAGCAATATCTTTTTTTTTTTTTTCTGCCAGTGGCTAATTCAAATATACAACAAAAGGTGCATGTAAAAAAAAAATTCATGATCTTGCAAGAGCTTCTCTGTGGGTTTACTTTTATACCTATATTGTCCCATATGTAAACATTTAAAGAGCAGATCCACAGGAGTTGTTGCTTATATTCACAAAACATAATGAATTTACTGCAAGTCTAACAGGTAATACAGGACATCTGTGTTCCTTAATAATGAAAGTATCTAATATTAGCCATTAATGTAGATTTTTGTCCTTATAAGTATTTTAATAATTTATTCATACTACATATTCATAATATTTAATTTTATTTAAAATAAAGTGGAGTAATTTACAAGCATACTATTAGGATATGTGACAAGTGAATGGTCGTACTTTCATAGCTTCACAGTATATAGGTTAATCATTAAGCTAAGTAACTTAAGAGCGAGAACATATGCAGTGAAAGTGACTATGAAAGACAAAAAAGCTTTATTAATACCATGAAGCAGTGAGTAAAAGCACTGTGCTTTAAACTAATATGTTTTTTAGTGGGGCAGAAAACTTTCAGTAGTTGTTTCTCATAGTTATGCATGCATCTTTGTAGTTGGAAAATAGTATGATGTGAGAAAGGCACCTGCAGCTACCATCAAAGTACAAAAACTAGACAAAAGAGCAGGATTAAAAAGGATTTATTTGAAATTGTAGGTGTCCATAGACTCATTTTAATCACTGAGATACCATCTGCTTTGGGATATAATGATGTAGGAGCCTTTGAAGATCCTGCCTGAGCAATGCACTTCTTAACCTTTACTATTATTAGTGCCATCTTAAAAATATTTCTCATTGTGTTGGAAACAATTTTTTTTTTTTTTAAGCCTAGTGACATAAATGCTTTTATTTTGCTTTTGGTAGAAGCACATGAGCTTCGTTTATTTGGCTTTAAAGAAAACACAAACAGGTGGAGGTTCACAATAGGAGAAAGCAGCTTATATTTGGTTCAGCTTGGCATTTAGAAACATCCTGTCTAATTAAAATTCTACACCTTTCATGAGACCGAAATTTGCATTTATGCATTTTGAATGTACTTGCACTTCAGGAATGTTTTAAGCACGGCTGAGTGCATAAATATGACTATCTGAAGAGAAGCAAAATAATAAAATTTCAACTTTATTTTCTTAAGGAATATCTGTTCAGACATTTGAAAATAGAAATTGCACAAATAATGGTGTAGCTTGGGTGGCTAGTGTTTTTAATTTTGGAAAATTCTTAAAGCATATTTTATACTCAGAAACAGTATGTTGAGAATTCTGCTTTTCTGCAGATACTAAGGCCAGAAAGCAACCATTATAATCATCTTGCATTCAACAAATTCTAGTGAAAAGTATTTCTTTTCTTTAGCTCTATTTTAGGAAGCTGATGCTATCTATTCATTGATTGTCATTGCAGAACAAGGATTTAATACTTTGAAAATCAAGCAAGTGTTGTTATTCCTGATTCTTTTTTAATGATGAATAATATGTACTCAACCAAAATAGAGGTCTTTCAGTTTGTGTGGTTAGGTTTTTTATTTTTCGATGTTGCATATGAGAATTCTATTAATGTAAGCAACCTAGTGTGAGAAGGCAGCTCCAAGCATTAAGTATATGGTCATTTCCCCCCTTTTCATTTATTGGAGCAACTACAAAAGATTGTGAGCCAGGGATTACTTACTTGTTCTTGGGGGAGCAAAGTTGCAGAAATGTTCATGGAGGAAAAACCTTGTGGTGTTATATTTCTGTCCTTCTAAAGAAGAGATTTGTTCCCTTTAATGCTAGTCTTGTCTGGGTATTCACAGCCTCCATTCAAGGAGCAACAGAGTATATCTAGCAATACTTGTGATCATGAGAGTTTCTCTAGTGAGTGAACCTTGACAGAGGATATGGAAAAGCATAGCATTCAGTACATCTTTTTAGTTTGAAACTGGACCATGATCATTACTTCTAAAATTGTCTAACTAATATTTTCCTCACTTTGTACTGTTTTCTTCTAAAGTAACTTACTGATGAAAAAATATTTGGAGACCCTGGAATAAGCCTTACTCAAGTCAGGATAGGACATCTGCTGCATTTCATCTATCCATAAATCCTGTTTCCCTAATACAGGGAAGCTCATCTGAGTTTGCCATAATATGTTTTTGATAAATGATAGCTATTACTCATCTACTTGTTCATTTCTGGTGTTTATAAACAAAATTAATTTGATATGTTCTAGTATTGAATTTGTCTTGGCTGGTCCATAAATTTAGGTTGTCTTTGAACTCCCACTTTAAATATAGATGCTGTTTCCCATTTTGCCAGTACTCTGAAGTCTCAGACACCTTCTGTGACCTAGTGAAGATAATGTGCATATGAGATTGCTTCAGCCTGTTCTCTTCAGTGCATCAAACTCAATCAGTCTGACACATCTAATACACATAGGTACTCACGAACAAGTTCATTTTCAAAGCCAGTCCCCAAATTCCCCCCTCACTATTGTTAGTGCTAATAGTTTTTGCAGTTATTATAGCTATATATATTTGTGACTGACTTTTAGACAATTGCTCAGCAAACTTTAAGGTGCTTGCTGTTGTCCCTCTGCTGTTGTTTTCTGGCTGTATTGTGCCCTAACTTTAAAGAGGACAGACTATTGACCTGTCAAAAGTAGTTTAAAAGTTTATGGATGAGGGCTCTTCCCTTGAAATATGGACTGCATAGATTTAAATCCTCTCAAGTTGAGGGTGGCAGAGTTGGGATCTCTGAATTCTTGAGTCAGTGCTGTAGTCACTAAGTCATTAGAATAAAAGGATTAGGAGACATATCCTTTGGCAGCTACTTTTTGATTTGTTTTTTTAGCTTCCAGAAAGACAGTGGAGGTTTGTTCTGAGGGGGCTGAAGTGTCCAGTTAGGTGCTTAAGTTCTGGAGAGCAGTGAGAATTCAGATATGCTTCTCAGTTAGGTATTTTCATGTGGGCTATTGCTACAGTGATCAATGCATGGATTTTATGTATCTGGCTTCAGAAGCCTCTGGTGGCTGGACTATACAGCATAATTGGAAGTGTTACAGTACTTAGTTTGGAGGTATCTGAGTAGGTTCTATATTTCCTTTAGAACCTGGTCCTACATAATGACTATTGATAAAGTTGTCAAGGATGTCACTGAAGGCTTTTGATGTGTACTTACTTATGAAGTGAACTCCATATTTGTGTAAATATAATGTTACATAAATGAAAAAGTCAACAGGGACTTGAATTCAGGACTCGGGCCTCGTCTTTGTTATGGTTTGTTTTGATTGGTTCTATTGGTGTCAAAGGTTTGTGTATAAAAATATGGGTTTTGTTTAACTTTCTTCTTTTGTTGCACTACCTAAACTGTAGTGCTTATCTCCTTCCAGCCTGTCTGTTTGGATTATACTGCATTCTAGGAAATGTGTAACACTGCTATCTCTTAACTAATTTTTAACAATGAATCCATATATAATAGGATTATATGATAATGTACAAGATGTCTAATTTGATGTTTGTATTACAGCCTTCCATGTTTAATATCTTTTTAATTCTTGCACTGGTTCTCTTGGAAATAAGATAATAAATATAAGTTTGCTTTGTCTATTTTGGGCAGCCTTTTGCCCATTTCTCTTTTTAAATTTAGAAACTGCATTCAACAGTAAATCTTTTTTACTTTACAGAAAAAGAGTTGAAGAAGAGCACTTTACTACATCCAACCTTCAGCAGTTTAAATGAAGAGAGCAATGTTTTACAGAAGTCTCTCAGTTTAGAGTATACTTTAAATAACCTATCTATAGAGGATGGTGGCAATCCACATTCCAGGAAAAAACGTTTTCTTTCCTATCCAAGATATGTAGAAGTGATGGTTACAGCTGACACCAAAATGGTTCGTCACCATGGGCAGAATTTACAGCACTACATACTAACACTGATGTCAATAGTAAGTAAACTTAAGTTCATAAGTATTAGCAATTTAAGTTATTTCTGCTCTGTTGTTTTCCCTTCTGCAACTTCCCTGTCTTCTGGTTTGACTGAATTCTATATTAAAAGAAGATTCCGTAAACATAAAAAAAAAAAATAGGACCAAAACTTCAGATTATGGATCTCTTCAGTTTAATGCAGTAAGGTGTGTAGATGAAATGCTGTGACCTATTTCCTGATTTGCTGTTGCATTAGAAGAATTCTTAAGCTTCAGTGAGTTAAGCATATGGATTAATTACAGCAGACAGAGGTTAAAAGGCATTGTGAAAAAATGCTTGGTTATAGTAATCTTAGTTTTTCAAGTAATTTCAAATTAATATGGGTCAGACTTTGAGTTGGCATCATTTAGCTGAGCTCTTTCTGTAGTGGACTCTTTCTTGAACCTCTTGTATTGATTCAGGATCTAGTACAATAACCTCTGTAAAATCAAAAGGTTTACCGTGACA